AGGGAGACAATACTCTTTTACCGAGACAGACCATTTCGCAAAAGAGAGGTAGAAAACGACCTCCTCTTTCACAACCTGTCGCAACTTCATCGTTTCTTGAGATGTCCCGCGCATTGCGTTTGAGCACGCGTAACGTATGGACGAACCCCTTCTTCCATCTCCCTTTTACGTCTGCTGGGCTTCCCTAATGTCCACTCTCTCGGGCCCGCGGCTTCCAAGCATAGTAAAATGGTTGACGGTGACGTTTCCTGCTTCCTCGACTCCAAAACGGATCTTCCAACCCCCTCCGAGCAACTCGCCGTATACATGGCTGTAAGCGAGTACAGCATGTGAAACAAGTAACCAGCCTATAACGTGCGAGATTCGAACCGCACAACCAGTGACGATGAACACGAAGCGAGCAAGCAATTGTCCTCCTCTTTTTCCCTTCCGCGGTCGGGTCTTGCGAGTCAGCCAGCACACACCCTGCCAATCTATGAAACCCGACCCTGCACGGACGCGCAACCTGCAACACACTGGCAGGCCGCGCGCCACATACTCATCATGCAAAAGAAAGAGAGAGACAAAAACCCAGAGAGGTAAAATCCGACAACGTAACCGAGAATGTCACGTCCCGGCATCGTCAAAGCCCATATCCTGTGTGACGACGTGACGCGTTTTGCAAATCCCGGTCAGCAAATTTCGAGTATCAGAAACGGCGAATGTCAATGAGAAAACAACGACGAGGCTGATTGGACAGATGGAAGTGAATGGCGCGTGAGGAAAAAGGGGGCAGGGCACACCTCTTGCCTCCCGGTCGGATGGAGATCAAATCACAGGAAACCTTGCTTCCTTCTTGGCCCCAAAGGCCCCGCTCTGCATCACCAGATCCGTCTCTACCGTGCGTACCTACGATGTCAAAGCTATGTACCGAGGACCGATCAGTATCCTCCGTTGGACCAAAACCTTTCGATACAAAATTACAGGAAATGAGATGTTTGTAGTGGCCTCTGTGAGGGTGAGTCTAGGCTGGCTCTTACACTAGAAGCCCTTATTAGTGGCCTTACTATCCTTGGCCTCATGGGAATTTAGCTATCGACTGTGTAAACGCATCAACGTGCAACTTTATTGTCGAGGAAGCACTAGTCATGTATATGTGTAGTACCGTATGTCTGGTTCACCCATCCTCCGCTGTACGCTTCTTTGAGCCCCGTCTTTCTCCTGTTACCCCCCAGCACAATGGCGCGTGATGTACGTTGTACTGATTGTGCTCGTCGTGATCTTAACACTCACTTGTGACGTGATAGGTCAGTTACTAAAGCCCTTCATCCCTTAAACGCCACGACAGCCCTAATTTTGACACCCCATTAAGAACCAATGCATATCATATTCAAATGAGCACCTTCGGGGTCTTTAGGAATGATGTGGACTGGGTCATTTGATCCTTACCTGTCCTCCCAGTTCTCCCCATAAGCCTAATATGGCGTTTTACCATCACTTTGTCCGCTTATTCGCACGTTCGTTGTATTTTTGTAAATTTAGCTTTCATTGCCAAACCGCCACAATCTGATCGTAGGGAATTTGTGTATGTCGTTCCATCCCCTGGACTCAGTCGAGACCAGGGCGTTGAGTTATGCCTTCATCTCCGAATCCAGGTGTGGACGGTTATCCCTCAAATGCATAATGCAGCCTCGCATCCGAGCTCTCGTCGAACGGTGAAGGTGGCGAAGGTCAGGATCTTCCAGACGCTTCTGAACCCTACCAACAGCTAGCAATCTCGTCTCGCTCGACCTCTCGTAATCGGAAAGCAGAGGGGGACCCTTATTTCATACCCTAAACGCTATCAAACTAAACGGAAATCGGAACGGATCAGGTCGAGCGCCTAGGTCAAAGGGACGGGAGTCCAGTTTTAGACGTGCTCGAATTTAGCGCTGCCGGAGAGTTCTGAGATTGAACCAATCCATAAGCGAAGAACGAACCCTTATCGTTTACGTCGTGATTGATACAATCGAGAGACCCATGTTCAAGTTCCACTTTGGTCAAGTGTTGGACTACCCTATTGATGAAGATGACGCCGAGATAGAGGCCCTTAACGAAAGCCTCGGTGAGATCATTATCACACCAGAGCAAGAAGATATGGATCGTGCAGCAAAATCACTCCCGCACGGTGCTCTACCCCTCTCATCTGATCCGACCATTGGTAATCACGAGCTACAAAACTGCGAAGAGATCCTCCTCAAAGATATAGTACGTTATATTTTGTCTAAATATCGACTTATATGGGACTCAGGTGCTTTATTTTAGTTACAAACTTTGCCATCCGCGATTTCGTATACCCCTCTCGTGATTAAGTCATCAGGTTCATCCTCTATTCCCACCATTGTCATTCCGAGAAGAGATCTCTATGATGCGCGCTTCCAAATTATCTCTGAAGAAGACCTCACTGACGATGATGACGACACAGAGATGGGTGACGAAAGTGACGATGATAGCAGAAGTGAAGCGTCTATGGAAATCTTGCGTGCTCGAGCAATGCGACTAAGATCAGGTGTCCCAGACTCAATAATGGAGGAGGACTTGGACCTTCCACCACTACCGCCCTCTCCTCCTGATTTCGACGAGTCCCTTGAACAGGAAATTGAAATTATACGGCCTGATTCAGCCCCCGACTCACTCAAGGCACCATCTTCCAAAGTGATATCAATCTCTGAGCGTCCACCTCGGATATCTCGCTCAGATAGGATCAGTCGTATCAAAGATTTGGAGTATATCAACGCGCCGTCAGACGTGATTCCAAACGTATATGAGGGTGGATTAAAGACATGGGAATGTAGTATCGACCTGGTAGAATACCTATCATCCGGGCAATGGCAGCGACCACTCCAATCAGAATCAAGCACTTCGTCTCAGAGCCAGAGACGCGAAGACACGCAGACACCATCATTCCAGGGGAAGGCTATACTAGAAGTAGGATGCGGAACAGCGATACCGACGTCGTTTATCCTCCGGTCTTTATTCAACGAGCCCCTCAAAGATGATGAAGACGAGGAGGATTCTGGTCTACCTGAAGGTAGGAAGGAGACAGTCATCCATCTACAAGATTACAATAAGAGCGTCTTGGAGCTAGTGACAATACCTAATATTCTCCTAGCTTGGTGTACGTTTAATAAGCCCTGTCTTCCTAGTGCGAGCTAACGAATACTTTTGCAGATTCATCTGATGCCTCTCAAAAGTACAAAAATCTACTTGAGACGTCTCTCCCAGACCCGGCTTCTGCATCAGAATTATCAATTGATCAGATGTTCCTCGACCACTTCCTCGAGTCTCTCCAACAACACCGCATAAAATTGAGACTGTGGGCCGGTCCATGGTCCAACTTTAACCCTCGCAAATTACCATCTCCTACAATCGAGCCCGTTTTTGATTCACTCGATTCATCCGCTGCGCCACGCCAAAATCAGTCAGCACGACCCTTCGACTTGGTCCTAACATCTGAAACTATATACCGGTCCGCAAATGTTCCTTCTCTTCTCCGAGTTTTACGGTCTGCTTGTGCAGAGGAAGCACAACCTGTATCAACCACTCCAGGAATAACCAAACCACTTGCTGGGGTCTTCTCGCTGTTCGGACAGTTTGGAGGCTTGAGTGGTCTGTCACCTCGGACACGCATCTCTATCATCCTGGTGGCAGCTAAGGTCCTCTACTTTGGAGTAGGTGGTAGCGTAGATGAATTCGAGAGCATGTCCAGGAACATGGGTGCCAGTGTCGATGTCGTTATGGAGAAGAATGTTGGAGTTGGGAGGCGTATCCTACAATTGGCCTTCAGGTAGACTCTATGTCGTTAATTTGGGTCGTTTCTTGCTTGTCGTTTGTCTTCGAGCGATCTTGCTCCTTCCTACATATCTGAATATATATAATATTAGGAAAGAAGCGTAGTGGATATGACATTGAAGCATTATTTACCTCTTCAAATCTATCCATCTTCCAATCTTCTTGTACATAGTGGATATACTCCCTCGGAAATACCCATTCCAGACACAAAAAGAATAGGCACTCGACGACTAGTATGAAAAAGTAGATTATCCCTGCGAAAGGCCCAAGCCGTAGAGTTCTGGGAGGAGAATAAATGAGTCTACCTGGGCCAGGAATGTATTTCTCTATCGGTACCGACCTATGCATTCGGGTCCATAGATCTATAGGTTCTCGTTCCATAATTTCGTCGTACACCTTTTCTGTACGTTCAGTGACACTCTCCCAATCATACATGCTCTTAATTCTTTGATGTGCCTTTATTGGGTCGTGACCATTGGCACTGACGATAGCAATGGCCTTATTCAGCGCATGTACGATATCTGCTCCGATATTAGGAGGTAAATCAGGTCAGTCACTAGAAAAGAACCCTTGAATGGTAACTGGCATACCATCTTCATTAGGCATTGCAAAAGAAACCATGTCTTCTGGTAAGACTTCCGGAACTCCACCTACTCGAGTACTGACAACATACAAGCCAGCGCAGGCAGCTTCGAGGAGTGCGATGCCAAATGCTTCAGTCAGAGATGTATTAAGATATACTGTGCCTCGCACTAGCACATCTCGTACTTGAGAGTGTGGAATCTCTCCAATGAGCTCAATCCTGTCCTGGAGCAAATATTTTTCACGCATTTGGAGCAGATCTATCATTTTCGGGCCGGATCCACCAATGATAAAGTGCACATTGGGATGCAAAGCGCAGACCTTTGGGGCACTCGCTACGAGGAGGTCGACACCTTTACGATATGCTAGTCTGGAAATGACGATGATGTTAACTTGAGAGGATGGGAGAAATAAGTTTCAGGCAGTGCCTCAATAGGATATCAAAGGAATCACTTCTCTCAGGATTGAATGGTTGTGGATCTGGTTTGAATTGATCCGTAATGATAGCGTTAGGAATCACATAAGTTCTTCTAGGGTCCAGATTTGCTCTTAGTATCGTGTTTTCACGCCTAGAGGTAAAATCAAGTCAGTTAACATGGTAAACCGAATATAAAGAAGAGCGTACGCTGTAT